ACCGTAGGTATATGCAAATGGTCTCACCATAAATAATCTAGAATTTTTTTTGTAATGTAAGTTAAAAGAAAACGATCGTAATCGTAACAACGATGGGTTTAGTTTTAAAAAAATATTTTCACAAAACATGATGAAATTTCATACATTTTCACGAGCTGGAAATCTTACTTTTTCTTTAAAAAAGAAAGTTTACAGATTTGAAAATTCGTTATAAACATTCCTGATATGCTATATGGCCGTATATAAACGGTTGTGTGCAATATAACCGTTTATATGAGGACATGTGTGGCGCCGTTATATGTCGCAACGCCGCTAAATGTCGCACTTGAACCATGCACTCACAGGAACTTGAATATCCAAAATATACCCCCTATATAGTATTAATAAACTATATAATGGTATATTTTTGATATTATCGTTAATATTGATAGAATATCAAGTTCCAGTGATGCAATCTGTCAAAAATCTTTATAACTTATATTAAAATATCCTCACTTTTGTATCGTCGATTTTCACTGGATAATCACTACGTTTATATAGTTTATATCTTATATACACGGCTGCTGTTAATTCATGGATAAATTTTCATTTTGATTTAACCTTTTACCCCATGAGCATATTGCGAAAAATGGCCATTTTCACTGAAAAGCCTCCTGTAACAGGTTCAAACTGTTATGAAACTATGAAAAATGCTTCAATACTAATGAAACTTGGCACAAATGTTGACTACACCATAGCCTCTGTAACAGCATGCTCAATGGTAAATTTCCTGTTACCATGGCAACGGAGGGACGTCTCAAAATTGCCAAAAAACACTGTTTTGCACTGTTTTTTTCCATCAAAACTGATTTCAAAGTGCTGCAACTTCTCTATGAATTGAGATAGAGTAAAAGGCTTTTCAGCGTCGGTTACTAGCTACCCTAAAATCGACCTGAGGCCATTGTTAGCCTGTCACATGTCCAAAATTTTCTTGGAGATGAGGGGGACTCCGCCCCCCTTCAAACCCCCCAAACAGAAGGGGCCACATCCCCCTTCTGGCAACCCCCTGATATATTATTTGGATGGGGGACGGCGCCGAAAAAGTGGTCACTTTTTTAACAACATTTCTCAAACGAAAAACAGTGTTTGGGGCCTAAATAGGGCATTTTTTCACTGTTTGAGGCCTCAAAAAGGGGGGGGGGGGGCAAAAGCCGTCGAAACACGCTTATATAAGGGAAAAGGTTAACAAAAAATGATGAAAAATCTTGGAATTACACAAAAACTAGATTTTCCATGTTAACACATGCCCTAACACCGAAATTTGGTGAAAAATTGTTGTTTTTTGACATTTTTTATTTTTTTAATTAACAAAAAATGATGAAAAACCTTGGAATTACACAAAAACTAGATTTTCCATGTTAACACATGCCCTAACACCGAAATTTGGTGAAAAATTGTTGTTTTTTGACATTTTTTATTTTTTTAATTAACAAAAAATGATGAAAAATCTTGGAATTACACAAAAACTAGATTTTCCATGTTAACACATGCCCTAACACCGAAATTTGGTGAAAAATTGTTGTTTTTTGACATTTTTTATTTTTTTAATTAACCTTTTACCCCATGAGCATATTGCGAAAAATGGCCGTTTTCATTGAAAAGCCTCCTGTAACAAGTTCAAACTGCTATGAAACTATGAAAAATGCTTCAATACTAATGAAACTTGGCACAAATGTTGACTACACCATAGCCTCTGTAACAGCATGCTCAATGGTAAATTTCCTGTTACCATGGCAACGAGGGGACGTCTCAAAATTGCCAAAAATCACTGTTTTGCACTGTTTTTTTCCATCAAAACTGATTTCAAAGTGCTGCAACTTCTCTATGAATTGAGATAGAGTAAAAGGCTTTTCAGCGTCGGTTACTAGCTACCCTTAGATCGACATGAGGCCATTGTTAGCCTGTCACATGTCCAAAATTTTCTTGGAGATGAGGGAGACTCCGCCCCCCTTCAAACCCCCCAAACAGAAGGGGCCACATCCCCCTTCTGGCAACCCCCTGATGTAATATTTGGATGGGGACGGCGCCGAAAAAGTGGTCACTTTTCTTAACATTTCTCAAACGAAAATCAGTGTTTGGGGTCTAAATAGGGCATTTTTTCACTGTTAGAGGCCTAAAAAAAGGGGGGGGGGGGGGCAAAAAGCCGTCGAAACACGCTTATATAAGGGAAAAGGTTAAACAAAGGATTAACAAAGGATTATGTATTATAAATTAAAATATAACAGGTGTTGGCAAGAGTAATATATTTCAATCTGGAATGTAAACCAAACAAAATTTCTATATATTTCATGCTTATTTGTTGTACTGATTTTTGCAGAACGTAATGCATTTTTTTCATGATGTCTTAGATCATTACGTAAAAAGTTACTTTTCGAAATATAATTCTGTAAAAAGTACCGAATTTTGTTGAATTTTTAACATTATGTAATGCAGATATTTATTGACATTTTCTTGTGCAAAATTGCACATTACTGAGTTTATGTGAGAAAAAGAAAATAAAATATCATATTTATGTATGGTCATCATTTATTTATCAATAAGTGGATATAATTATCACTTTCTGTATATTTTGAATTCACAGTATGCTTACGTTTGTGCCAAAGTGATAGTAACGATAATTTAACGACACCCTCTACGTATCCGTTTATAATTAGGCATTTTAACGATTATTCGTTAATTACGAGAGCCTCGAGAAAGCAGTGAAAACCTTAACGAGAGGCTTACGACAGTCGTTATGCTAACGATAGCTTCGAGATACTGACCCCAGGCTGATTCGGGAATTATGCACCGAAATAACGATTGTTAACTCATTAAAGATACTGAATCATATTTATCTGTTCCTCAGTGTAATTTATGACACTTGTAGATTGGCAAATACCTAAGGTTTACAGAACATGAAAAACAAAATTATAAATGATTACTGTACTTATTTATGCCGACGAAACCAGGGAACCTTCAAAAAGGTAGCCGGGCTGTCATTTCGTGTATGATTTCACAAAATAAACATATTATTTAAAATATTTGCAATACTGGTTAATATCACAGCAGTCGTATTTGTGTACTTATTTTTTAATTTGATTTACAATTTTAAATTACTTTGCACATATTCATCGTGTTTTTTTTTGCACTTTTTTACGTTATTTTAAAATTCATGCTTTACTAAATATATAGAGTGTAACGGGAGAGTTACAAGAACCTCAATATTATTGTGCATGTGTTTGATCCTTAAATAATAATCTATTCGTCAGAGAAAATTATTTCATTAAGGGTATCAGGTGGCCTCATTACTAATAAACTGTAGTTTTAGAATTTGTTCTGGTTTAATATAATTCCAATTTATGTTTAAAGCCCATGGTTTGTTTACAAGGATTTGTTCAATTAATAGTTTGCAGTTAGGATAATAAATGAAAGTGAAATCGAAAAATGCACCACACTTTCAATAATAACTATTTGAAATATATGTTTATTTGGGCCAATCAGCTGTTCCTTTTATCATTGTTTTCATGCGGCCTTTTTTCAGTCAATTTATTGCTATTTTACCCCTTTGCATCTTGATGATACCAGCGAACGATAATAAACATAAACTGAATTTTTCATTTTCTTTTTCACTTTAATCTTGATTTGTCAGCATGTTGTCAATTAGGGTAAATATGAAATTTAGTTATAAATGATATAAATTGTATATTAGGTAGTCTTAAAGGCATACTGTGGCAAATTAATAACAAAAATCTCTAAATTATCTTATGTACTCAAATCACGCTAAAATTACATTTGGTAAAGTCTCAGCATGAATGTCTGTATAAATTCTACATATTTTGGGTTTGAAGCGTAAATATATCTATTATAATAAATGTTGAACGAAATTTAGACGTTGACAGAATCACCGAGTATTTTTAAAACTAGTTTTGTGACTTGAGCAAACCCTGGAAGTTACATAAACAGATATTGTGAATATTGTATGATTGAAACAAACCTAAATCATTCATGAGACATGTTCTTAAACATTTCCAGAGCTCAATGTGACAACTATTGTAAAATCTTAACGCTCTAACCTGATCCACGTGTAATTTCTACCAATTATCGAAAAATTAGACAAGCCGATTTTTTTTCGATTTTCGTCGTATGCAATGGCAGATTTGATCATTCATATTAAAATATTTAAGAATTATATAATAGAACAGATATGTACTTTTTAGCTATCGCTTGGTCAATATTATTTTTTTCAGTAGATATCACATCATATTCAGCAGCTTAAAAGTCCATATTTGTATAATGTCAATTTGGTTATAGCATTGCACAATCCTTTAAAAGAACTTATCACATCTAAATATAACATTAATATATGATCTAAATATAATTGCAATTCCATTGGTCCAGAAGTAAAACAGATATATTTTTAAAACCATATTCAATGGTAGAAGTTCCATATTTACTGGCTGAAATAGATTTTTCCAATCTGAAAATAGATCGAGACACATATTCAATCGTAGGCTGTTTAATTACGGGTGAGCATAAAAATAATTGTTGCATTTTGTTCTTTATATCATATTTCTCGATTAAAATATCATTACTTTTTATAATAGTCAAAGCAGGGTTCGCAGTTTGCGCAGCGTTCGCAAAGTCGTTGAACGCCCGATGTCAACTTGTTTACGATGCGTTATTTCCCGGGATTAATGAAAACGGACACAAGTTGTATTTAGTATTTCTATCATAAGGCTTTGCTTTTTGTGTTTTTTTTTATAATCTTAGACTATTCAAATAGTAAAACAATTATTGATTAGTGAACCATTACATATGATGTGATATTTACCGGCAGGAAGGCATATTAACTAAGGCTGATAAGCCATCTTAATATAGAACAGAATATACATTCAGCGGACAGTTTTCAGTCGTCATTATAAAGATTTAAATTATTCTAAATGTTTTCAAAATGAACAAAGACAAAAAAATTGAAAACGTACGTATGTTACACTGAGAACCTTCCCACTCGTCAGTACACCCATTGGAACAATTTCCTGATAGCTTGTCCCATATTGTTGCATCTCGACAATGACAAGGTTTCTTGCAATCGTATCCGCACATATTCTCCTGACAATCTAAATTAGGTAACAATGCCAAATAATAGGATTGTTAACAAACCATTCCTTTTATCATTTTCAGATGTAATGACTTAAACATGTATATTTAATAAAAAAGTACAACCAATCTAATACTAAATTAAATGTTTAGGTGACCGTTCAAGATACATATCTTTATGTGACACTCTGTTCATTAATACAAAACAATGAAATTAATATAAACTTGATTGTCTTTAACAATATCAGATTATGAATCTGTTCAGCTATATTACCGTCATAAACATAAACTTCGCATATGTGTAACCGTCCTTTCACTTCCCTCGTCAAGTTAACGACTCTGCCAATCACATTTATATTTGTGTCCACATTCGCTGCTGCAGTAACCACACGATGGAAATTATTAATACCTGTACTGCTTTTTATTTCAATTTGATACGTTTGTTTGACATCTGTAATTTCATAAAAAAACACACAGTTACATAAGAAAATTTCAATGGAATGTTCAACGAATCCAAAAACAGAAATTTTAGAAATTATTGTTGCGATGGCTAAATTCAATGTGTCTTACTTCGTTTAGCAATTTCACAGCGTCAACATGTATTTTTTCTTCGGCGCTATTTAGGTGACTTCATCATAGGCTAATCATATGACGTAATGATTGGAGATAGATAGAGGATATTGAATGAATGCGAGCATAATATTGTTTTATTCAACGAGTTCAATAAATATAGTATTGAATCTACACGAATAGAATATTTTTTTATCACATATATAAAATGAAACGGTAAACTGTTAACAAGAGTAATTTTTATTTGACGTTCCTATAGTGTAACGCTAACATTAGCGCACTTTATCGCTATGTTTATAACACAAATTACGTCACGTCATACACGCCCGTTTAACTCACAACGAGTGAAAATTGTATATCGGTAAAAATGTGAGCAACTTCCGTCCCTCGTTGTGAGCACACATCTATGACGTGTGACACGATAAACAAGGTGAGTTTTTTATAATTTTTGAAGATTACAGACATTTATGTAAAAATATCGGAATGCAGTTAGCTAGCGATGTGTTTTCCGAGTATGCACATATAAAGATATTGCCTGTTGGTGGACAATTTGATGGAAATACCGTGCGACGCAGTCACTCGGGGTAGCTGGAAAACTGGAGACAACTTCTCTTGGACCTAATATAACATTGAAAACGTCGATTCTGGTGACGTTGTGTGCATTCTAACCTAAAACAGATGCCCACAAGTCTTCAGCATAAATTATTATCTGAAAGTTTTCATAGAAACGAAGATAAACCCATTTTTGCTCAAATCCTCGTTGTGAGCATCATAACCTCGTTGTGAGCAAGACAAGCACAGTGCGTGTATGGTTTTGATATGTAATCCAGATGGTGAAAATATAATGTTCAATCTACCAAAGCAATTAAAACGTTTTTGCACAGCAGCATTTCTTTGCAAGACGTTGTGCATACCCCAAAGGGAGGCATATTAGTTTTGAACTGTCCGTCTGTCAGTCCGTCAATCCGTCCGAAAACTTTAACATTGGCCATAACTTCCTTATTAGTAAACGGATTTGATTCAAATTTGAACACATCATCCCTTAGGACAAGACCTTCCTACGGACCCGTATTTTTTACCTTGACCCCTGAATAGCCTTTACCTTGAAGGTCAAATTGTCCAAAAACATTTAAGATTGGCCATAATGTCCTGGCATAATGTTTAGGCACAACACCTCTTTGGACAAGGCCTTCCAACTATCCTATATTCTTTTGACCTTGACCCCTGAATGACCTTCACCTTGAAGGTCAAATTGTCCAAAAACTTAAAAATTGGTCATAACTTCCTTATTAGTATACGGATTCTACTCATATTTTGACACAACAACCCTTTAGGCAAGACCTTCAAACTGATTTGTATTTTTTTTACCTTGTACCCTGAATGACCTTCTAGAACATCCAAAAACTTTAACATTGGTCATAACTTCTTTATTAGTAAGTGGAATTAATTCATATTTGGACACAATGCCCCTTTGGACAAGACCTTCCAACTGACCTATATTTATTTCACCTTGACCTTGAATGACCTTCACATTGAAGATCTAATTGTCCAAAAACAAATAATCTATCTGGTCCATAAATCAAAGGACAAAGCACCACTTCGGGGGCATTGTCAACTTACCGTGACAGTTCTTGTTCTACTTACCTTGGTCAGTCTTCAGCCCAGGATAAACACATGTATGTGTGTATCACACAGACTGTTAAATTGTTGAAATATTCATAAACTCCCTGTGATGTTCACTCGTACACGAAATAAATACCTGATTTACTTCCACTGATTAGTTTATCTGTTAATCTGATGACTTGTGAATATGAAGAATAATTTTCAAAAAAAAAAGAAAAGAAGAAGAACTATTGCAAAGAAAAACTATTGTACAAAAACATTTTGATTGCTTTATATAGTAACAATTAATAAGTTTATCCGTCAAGGCTTTGTTAAGCTGATAATATAGACAGCAGTAGGATAAATTCTGATCTGAACCGCAACATATGACAGATATTGTTTTATTCTGATACTGTCAATATTAGCAGCCTTGCCTTTCTCATTTGATGACGTCACATGGTTAGCAGCAAAACAAAACAACATATACATTTAGACGATGTTTTATCGGGGAAAAGTAAGAAGGAAGCCATTTAAATAATCTAAAAACATGATCAAGGTACACAAAAGCAGGTTAAATCAAATACATCGTTGATATCGGAATGGACCTTTCCAATGTTTACAGATTTATGTAAAATTTTTATCCAATTGCTACACTGAGAAAGTACAAAGAGACTGATTGACCTGGTTTGCACAAAAAACACATGGTTCACTTTGGGATCACTTTGTTTCCAGATTTTTATACTTCACAACAGCAGGTGTCAAGTGCTGTGTGGCAGCTGTAAAAAGGTGCCCCGTACTTCACTTCAGTGTTGTTATATTTTTCTGGTTCTTCGGGATCATTGATGCCAGCACTATTGATTGTTGAGAATTGAGTACCGCTCAAGCCGGTGCTAGGGGGCGTGAGAGATGTTGCACGTATTCATTATCCCTCATGTACAGACTCAATCAAACCGAGTCTGCAATTCTCTTGTAATTTTGTTGTGATTAATGCTTCCGAGGGATCACTTTGTTTCCAGATTTTTATACTTCAAAACAGCAGGTGTCAAGTGCTGTGTGGCAGCTGTAAAAAGTTGCCCCGTACTTCACTTCAGTGTTGTTATATTTTTCTGGTCCTTCGGGATCATTGATTCCAGCAGTGTTGAGAATTGAGTTCCGCTCAAGCCGGTGCTAGGGGGCGTGAGAGATGTTGCACGTATTCATTATCCCTCATGTACAGACTCAATCAAACCGAGTCTGCAATTCTCTTGTAATTTTGTTGTGATTAATGCTTCCAAGGGATCACTTTGTTTCCAGATTTTTGTAGCAATGAATGGAAAAGGTGTGGCTAAATGTTCCGCTACGAAAAACCGGAAAGGTCCATAGGAAACGGTTTATCTGGTACGCTGCGAAAGTGGATCTTAGCTTGCTAAAGACCGCCAAGATACACTTTCTCGGTCACCGGATAAACCTTTTCCATCCCGACATCAACCATGTATTCACTATATTATTTACTATCAAACTGGCGTTTTACCCAAGCCGGAAATTGCATCTGGCATGGAGTTCGAGGCTGCCAGATGAGTCGCGTGCAATACTATAAGAATCATTCACTAGCTGCTGGTACAGATCGGAATATCTAGCTCGAGGGTAACTGTTTACGGCGGTAACGAGGCTCTGCTAACAGTTACCCGAGAGCAAGATTAATAATATCTGTCATATTTTGCGGTTCGGATCGGAATATCCGTCCCGAGGTGACCCACCCATTGGGTAACGAGGCTTGCCGAGGGACGGATATTCCGATCCGAACCGCAAACATATGTCAGATATTTTTTCTTGCATATTCTACCATATTCCATTATATTTTAAATTCTTTATCTTTATTTTCAATGAAAATTTATATCATTACAACCGTAACAACTTTCATTCAACAGCGTATGAATTACAAAATCATTCATAACGTGAAATGACATCATCTTTATCGTGCCATTGTAAGGCACGCGACTCATCTGGAACCCCCCATGCCAGATGAAATTTCCGGCATGGGTAAAACTAACGGAAACGCCAGTCTGATATGCAAGAAATTCCCGTCTGTACCTACAGCTGGTGTTTGATTCTTTTTTCCATATTATAGATCTATTAGTTATTTTCAGAACAGACATTACAAAAACTGATATTCTCATTACGCACTTTTTTCTTATAGTAGCGTATGGACTTACAACTTCATTCATAACTTTTAAATGACGTCATCTTGAAACGCAATTTATTCATAAATGGCGCGCAGCAATAACGTCATTTAAAGCAAGCGACATTTTACCATTTCATGTTTAAATGTTGAATTCTGCTTAAGCCGGTGCTAGGGGGCGTGGACGGTAACTTGCACTTTCCAGTACCGTCCATGAACAGGCTCAATCAAACCGAGCCTGCAACATTTTCAATATTGCCGTGTTGGGCTTTCTTTAGGGATTCTGTATTTATCTATTTTAGATGGAGACGTACCCCATGCAACATCTTGACTTTTGTATAGTTAATTATCCACATTTAGATGGAGACGTACCCCATGCAACATCTTACGGGGTTTATGTTTCCCAGTTAATTAGATTCGCTAGAGCTTGTAGCAACGTAAAGGATTTCAACGAGCGGAATATTTTTATTACCAGCAAGCTTCTAAAACAGGGCTACCGCTATCATAAATTACGGAAATATTTTACTAAATTTTACAATCGTAACTTTGATTTAATTTCCAAATTCAATAGTGATTTAAAAACTCTTCTGCGACAAGGGATTAGCCAGCCTGGTTTTTATGGCGATGTGATTTACAAACTTCGTAAGATTTTGGGTCATGGTAATTTTTCTGCTGTTTTTACTAAAATCATTAAACGTTTTATTAAAAGAGGTTATGACCCTACTATTTTAAGACATACTGCATGTTTAGTGTTCAACCCTTTTACAGTTGGACACTACGCTTTCCTCTTTTGATTGCATCTGACGGACCAAGTGGGAGACTCTATGATGGATAGTTCGTAAAGCCTTTGGGACTGATTGTCTTAATGTTCGTCTTCTGCCTTGCTTCGTCGGGCCCTTGTAGGTGATTTCTTGTTGCTCTGTCTTCCTTTAGGACATTGAGTACTTTTGTTATGGTCATTGGGTTTACTTTTATATGTTTCTACATGATCATTTTAAGCGTTTTACTTATTTAACCTTTTGTAACCATGACAACTGTTAGAATTTCACTTGGCGGGGATTCATTTTATTTACACTGTCTCGTTTATAGGAACATGGTGGGGCTAAGAGCGAGGTTTGGTGCACCATTAACCGGTTTAAACTCCCCAGCAGTCATTATTATGCTGCTGACCGTTCCAAGGCGGCGCCCCACTGTGTTCCTCAGATGTATGTCTTATGTTTTTTCATACTGTTTTGGTGACACTTTTGCTTGTGTCCCTTGTTGTTTTCTCGTCTACGGTAAGTATCTTCCCCATTGCCTCTAGTTTTTATTTCTTTGATTACTCCCACCCCTCCCCGGTCTCCTGTCCCCTTCCCCTTTGTGGGCCTATTTTTATTTTCTTTGAATTCCTAATCAGTTACAAATTAATTATCATTTAATGATTAACCTGTCCGTGCTCTGTCTTTGCCCTGTCCTGTTTTTGTTTGGGGTCCCCCTGGGCTCCTTGCCATTGGTTCTTGTTGCTGGGTCATGTGGGGGTTGCGTTCATTGAACGCCGCCTTTCCTTGTTGATCTTGTTTATCATATTTCTTTAGGGATTCTGTTTTTATCTATTGTCTTACATGGGGTGCAGGACAGGTTTCTCTAGCACCGGCATAAACGGTAGATAATCCTGTCTGACATGCAAGAAAATGGCAAGCCTACAATGTCTTTATTTTACCGTTTTGAATGAAAATGTAATTTCATACACTGATGTTAGAAAATAGTTACGAGTATAATAGCCTAAATTTCCATTGTAAATTGTTGTAGAAAATGCAAGAACAAATATCTGCCACTGTCTGCGGTTCGAACGGGGATTATCCGTCCCTCGGGACCCGCCCATCAGCGGAAACTTGGCAAGCCCTCGGGATTGATTTTCTGAAACGAACCTTAAAATATGACAGATATTATTACTTTTGTTGGTCTAGTGAAAATTAACTTTATTTAACTATCCTTGAAATTGAAACTTACACGACATATTTTTAGACTCGTAACTTTTCCTTTTAAAACATCGATCATACCCTCTATTTTACTCAATACTGATACCTTTAAAACCCACAATATGAAGGTTATGAATTATCGCTTCAATACCAAGATCTACATTCCACCAAGGATTCTCTTCGTCAGAGCTTAAACTGCATTTGTTCCAAAACCACTCATTAGTTATCCCATCAACAGCATTTTTGGCTTTACATTCATTTTGAAAACAGTCTTTATGAATCGATACTTGAGAGGCATTACGTTTAAACGCCAAATTTCTGCCTGAAACGACCAAATGTACAAGTATACGAAGTATGAAACAAAAGTACTCGGCCCGATATACTTCTAGCCACTACACGTACATTAACACACGATACGTCGAACCGATATATTATTGAATATTACTGACCGACCGAGCTACACGCGGATTTACATAGATTAAGTAACATAAAACACACTTTGATCAGTTAAGGGGTGAGTCATTCATACCAAATTGAGAAAGTTGAAACCAGAGCCGTCATTAGATACCTCTGTTTAGAAAGGGATGTCCCCCAAGGAAATCTATGAAGACTTCATGGATACAATTTAGAAGGAGTCCCCTTCCTATAGCACTGTGAAAAAATGGGCTGCTGAATTTAAGAGGGGCAGTGAGAGCATTGGGGATGATGAGCGGCCTAAGCGGCCAAAAGCGGCCACAAACGATGAAACTGCCGAAGCTGTGCGCGATCTGGTCATGTGCAGAAGTTGAGACCTGCGAAGCATTGTTAGGGAAGTGGGTATAAGCTTTGGTTCAGTTCAGCAATCTGACTGATGTCAATGACATGTCAAAGGTGTCCTCTTCGCGGTTTCTCAGACAGTTTACTGACGACCAGAAACGGGTCAGACTTGACATTTCAAGATATATTTTGTCTCGTTACGAGGATGAACCTGATTTTATCTACCGGATCGTAACTCAGGATGAAACATGGGTCCATCACTCCGATCCAGAATCCAAATAAAAAGAGAATGAAGTGGAAACACCCTGGATCACCCCCTCCGAACAAATTCCAGAGGGTGCCATCAGCACTTCCTTGTTGATCTTGTTTATCATTTTTTTCAATTATTTGGGATAGACTATATTGAGCAAATTGTACCATGGAGGCGGTCAATGAGTTCTTTGAGGACCAAAAATGAGAGTTCTATTTTGAAGGATTAAACAAGTAGTAGCACAGGTGCGCAAAGTGCATTGATGTAGAGGGCGATTATTATCCCCCGCCGATGGAATCGGGAGGGAGATATAGTTTTGGCGTTGTCCGTCCGTCCTTCCGTCCGTCCATCCGTCCGTCCGAATTTCGTTTCCGAAGTAGTTCTCTGCAACTACTGGCTGGAATTCAACGAAACTTTATGGGAATCATCAATATCAAGAGGAGATGCGCATATCGTCGGCTTGTTCCGGTCCGACACTTTAACTAAGAGTTATGGCCCTTGATTAGTTATGTTGTATGCATATAGAGTAAAAATCGTTTCCGGAGTGGTTCTCTGCAACTACTAGCTGGAATTCAACGAAACTTTATGGGAATCATCAATATCAAGAGGAGATGCGCATATCGTCGGCTTGTTTCGGTCAGACACTTTAACTCAGAGTTAACTCAGAGTTATGGCCCTTGATTAGTTATGTAGTATGCATATAGAGTAAAAAATCGTTTCCGCACTACTTCTCTGCAACTACTGGCTGGAATTCAACAAAACTTTATGGGAATCATCAATACCAAGAGGAGATGCGCATATCGTCGGCTTGTTCCGGTCTGACACTTTAACTCAGAGTTATGGCCCTTGATTAGTTATGCAGTATGCATATGGAGTAAAAATCGTTTCCGTGCTACTTCTCTGCAACTACTGGCTGGAATTCAACGAAACTTCATGGGAACCTTCAATACCAAGAAGAGATGCGCAAATCGTCGGTTTTTTTGGGTCAGACACTTTAACTCAGAGTAATGGCCCTTGATTAGTTATGCAATATGCATATGGAGTAAAAAATCGTTTCCGGAGTAGTTCTCTGCAACTACTGTCTGGAATTCAACGAAACTTTATGGGAATTATCAATATCAAGAGGAGATGTGCATATCGTCGGCTTGTTCTGGTCAGACCCTTTAACTTAGAGTTATGGCCCTTGATTAGTTATGAAGTATGCATATAGAGTAAAAATCGTTTCCGGAGTAGTTCTCTGCAACTACTGGCTGGAATTCAACGAAACTTTATGGGAACCTTCAATACCAAGAGATGCGCATATCGTCGGCTTGTTCAGGTCAGACAGTTTAACTCAGAGTTATGGCCCTTGATAAGTAATGCAGTATCCATATAGAAAAACATTTGTTTCCTCGCTACTTCTCTGCTACTACTGGCTGAAATTCAATGAAACTTTATGGGATACTAAGAGGAGATGTGCATACAGTCGCCTTGTTCCAGTCAGATACTTATAACTCGTATTTATGGCCCTTGATAAGTTATGTAGTATGCATACATCTCATTAGCATTTCCAGATTTTAATATTTAACACAAAGTTATGGCTTTGTTATTGCCCTGAATATTTATCAAGTTCAAAGAATATTACTGTTTATGCCATGATTAATATTTAAATAAAGCCTTATGTCTTCAGTTGTTGTGTTAGTAATAACCAATACTCGGCGGGGGATATAAATTCAACGAATTTGCTTGTATTGAAAAGTAAGACCATCAGTTGGGTTCTCTGACTACCGGACATACATCGGGCCGAGAACTTTCTGATCAATCCTCGTACATCAACATAAATAATAAATATTAAATCTACGCTTTTATTTGAAATCGATAGGGTAAACGCATGTATATTATGCGATTACTGCAACTGCAGATTGCTGCAACTGGTAAATTGCATACTTATTATATGGTACAAAATGTAGTATTATTATGGAAGACCACATTACTCACTATTTATATCATTACACGTATCTTCTAGCACTAGCATACAAGATTTCAACCAGTTCAGCATAAAATTCACTGCGAAAAAGACATGGATATACGGAAGTGTACGGAATTCTGTATATCATTAATATACGTGTAAGAATACGGGAAACTTGAAATACGGAGATGTACGGGACCGTATATTATATCAGTCCGTATATGACTAGTATACGAACTCCGTACACTCGTAATATACGGGAACTTTGATGTACGAAGTCCGTATTTTACTAATATACGGATTCTGTATATAGAAATAGCGAATGAAGATTTACTTCTGAATCGCCTATTTCCTGTAAGAGTAAAGAAACTGTCTGATCTAATATTTGTCAGACATTTGACAAAATAACATAAAACAGGAAAGCTTTAACACAATGCAAAATTTCCTGGAGGTATTAACGCATCAACTGCATACTTATAATACTTTCAGTGCACAAAACGTGTAAGACACCCACCTGTAGCATGCAGACGCGGTATTCTAGCTCAATACCGCTGTGTTTGCTTTTTAGCATACCCGCAGATAAATAGCGAATACTTTACAATTGCGATTGACGATTAGATAGTACTGTTTTTGTATTTTGCATCTATGGTGAATCATGTTATTTATTTATTGTTTTTTCATTATCATTATAATATTTTATAATGATAAGCCAAACATGAGAAAATGATAAAGTTGAAACTGTGATGTTCAAAACATGAATAAATTATACTAAAATCGTGAATCTTTGAAGTTGAAATCGTGAAAGTTAAAATAATTGTGAAATCACGAACATGAAATCGGGATTGTCCACACAGCATTTAAATCTTACGTTTATATATTTCCTATAAAAATAGGCTATACATAATATAAAACATGTACTTGCATATGTAAAAAAAAACAAACAATGATATCTCATTCATTCATCCATTCATTCATTCATTCATTTACTGAATCAGGCAACCAATTATTCATTCATTTATTCATACATTCATTCATTCATTCATCACTCATTTATTCTTATATTTATTTATTTATTTATTTATCTATTATTATTTATTTATTTATTCTATCTTTTATTTCAGGAAACATAAGGATTTGCGTTTTTGTACACAAGTTTTGAATAGAATTCTTATGAAGTTCCGAGTTTCCCTATTTTGATTCTTTTCGCGCGGTCTCATTTATGACATAATATTGTGTAATAGACACGTGCTGTATTGCGATAATCGAAGCCAATACTGATTGAGCCGGATATTGATCCGGATATTGATCATAAACGCAGCAGGGTATAACGAGTATCGGTTTTCTCCGATTACGTAAGTTAGCGCAATTGGTGTTGAATGTCTTAACTGTAATTTTGACTGTTAATTTCTGATATAATTCATGTATGAAATAAGGGAATTAAATTGTGATCTCATAACCGAGTCTCTATGTGATTTTGTTGCAGATTTTATAAAGACTCTAACCTGACATATTAAAATGAAACAGGCATAGGTGCTGTATTCTTTCCAGTGTTTTTGCAGCGTCGTGTTGTTGTTATCCTTCTATCTGGCGGAATTTGTCATTTAAACAAGACACAATTAAGATTTATCTTAAAGTAAATTCTGAAGTATCCTGCCGCCAGGTCCAATTATACCTTAGTTAACAAGCTAGAATCAGATGGATGTCACTGGGGTGTAGGTACATGTATTGTTGAAAGATGATGTCAAATTATTCGAAATAGCATTTCTTATAAAATATCGTCATCATCACCCGAGTTCATCGTCTCCTATCAGCCGTTTTTCTGCATAATTCGGTGACATTGTTCAGGACAGGGTTTTGGCCGTGCTATGTAAATTAACCATGGTTCAAATAAAATTATGAATCTTGGAAACAGTTTTTGCATAAGTAATTTGTTTAAAAAATAAAAATTGTCGTGGTTTGTTATAAAAAATCAAGTTAAGAACATACTAAATTATATATTGATAGTAAAATCACTTTTTTAATTGGACTTTCGAATTTTTACCGATGTTTGAGGAAACAGTTATTTAATATTTCGTTATACATAAATTTAAACGCTTGGAAAACTGTATTGACCATTTGTACTTCACAAATTTTTCGACATTCCATATTTTGACTTATATTTCATATAAAACGATATGGTAACACACGCACGCATGCACGAACACACAAACATACGTAACTACATTTGCACATACAAGTGAACACGTTCCCACATTATAAACACTTTCGCACATGTGATCACTTATGAAATAATTTCAATGTGCTCTTTATGCTTAAGTTATATTATGATTTTTTTTGCAGGACAGGGTACAGCGTGTTTGAAGTCTTCCAGAAATGCAGCTGTGCCTTCCTTACAGCAATTATTGATAAAGCAAAGTATGGTAGCAAGTTAAAAAGATGTAAGTTCACGTATATACATTGTTGTATTTTGTGAATAAAATAAGACAATAACACGGACGTACTGCCTGCCCAGACTCATATATTCCAATTCGTACTGACAGCATGTGTTTTATGGCAAAGTCAAACTTCCTTAATTACACGCATTTTATTTTGACATAAATAAATGTGGTTAGTAATAAATTACGTGGGTGTTATTTATATCTTATTAGAATCAATTCTTAGCCAGAAGGCATTCGGAACTGCTTCGGCTATTATCAATAATAACCTCGGAAACAATACGGATTGAAAGTAGTTCTCCCACGTGTTTCTTGAAAACAGAAACAGAGTTTTAATGAAAAAACAAATGTATATATTTAAACATCAAAATGTCTTTCCGGGTCCCCCCCCAATTTTTTGAAAAATAGGGCCTGACAAAAAAATTTTTTAAATTTTAAAAATATGCCCATGATGTTCTTTTTTTAAACAAATCCGCCCAAAAAATGTCAACGGGTTTTGGTTTTTTTTGTAACTTTTCGGTTTCCTACCCCCCAATTTTAAAATTTAAATTTACATAAATAATGTATTTTTTTGTTTTTTTGTAGGGTATAAAATTCCCCTTTTTTTTTAAGGTGGTTTTTTCTACATTTTTGGGAAAATTTAAAACTTGAAAACAACTCCCCCCAATTAAAATTACTATTTTTTTTAACATTTTTTAGTTTTTTTAAGCGTGGGTTTAAAGCCCGGGGGAATTCCGCATCCTTTTTCTGTGTTTTCCCATACTTTTGGGTTGTTCCGGGGTCCTTATCCCGAAAACGAGGGGAAAAGGGCCGAGTATTTTGCGATGAGCCAGGGGGGAAATGTCATAAAAAAAAAAATAGTAAAATAACAGAAAATAATCATTTTAGATGTTTAAAAAGAATTTTATTTTGTACAAGTTATACATATATTGACAGCAGGAGGACTTATAGGTAGATTTTATGATAAATAAGTCTTGAGGCTGAGACTCGTGTAAGGGTGGAATAGTACCCGGATAGGAAGGCGTTTTCGGACAAACGTGTACGAGTGGCTGGAAAGAGGTTGAATTGACATTATATAACTTTTCATATATCCCTACTGTGTTTATATGTGTATGTGCTTGATAGTGTGGATATAAATTGATAATCTGATTATAACTCGGTGCATTAAACCATGGCTGATTCCAGGGATAACACTCCAAGTCTATTCAAATCAAAAACTATGAGTTGTACACCCAATAATGATGAACTCTTAAATGTTTACCCTAACAAGGTGCTAACAGATCTAGACTCTGAATCGTCAGCTGAATATGTTGCTGCAATCATGTCACCATGTCCTGTTCACAAGGTATGTTCACCTAGGAGAAAAAGAAACAGGTCTGAGCCAACCACAAGTGATATAGTCTGTGACACCTCCATAAAGAAAGCCAGAACTATTGACATAACAAAGTGCTCTCCTACATCCCACAACAATTTGAACAATGTAGCGTTTTCTGTAGAAGTTTGTGAGAACACCTATGTAAATAAAACAGTTGATGGTGGAACCAACGATACTGGGCTTAGAAATGAAATTTTGAATTTAACAAGACTGGGAATCTTGACTCGTTAACTGATAATATCTACAGTAGAACGGACAAACTTGAAAATTCACTTGAGAGCAAAATAGTGCATAAAATGGCAGGGGTAATTGACAAACGTATGAATACTGAAGCAAAAAAATATTCGTAAAGAGTGTGATAATAAAAATACAGAATTTTAAGGATGACATTCGGCAGGATATCTCGGAAATAGGAGCCAAATTGAACTCAATTACTGATGCAACAAAAGCTTTAAGTCCAACATCAAGTAAGAACAACAGAAGAGACTGTAACTTTGTTATAAAGGGTCTACCTTTTCATGAAGGTGAAAATTCTAAATGCTAAGGTAAACTCGTTAAATAAGTGATGGTATGGGAATTAAATCAATAACTGTTCTCAAAACCCATAGAAATTCAAGTGATGGAAGTGATGGTATAGTAATCGCTTCTCTCCAAGCTACTGAAGAAAGGAAAACTATTTTGAATGCTAAACGTAAATTAAAAGATTCAGAACAGTACAAGAAAGTGTTTATCTATAAAGATCAGACAACAGAGGAGAGAACTGTCAACCGGAATTTAAAAACCATTGTTAACGTGCTACGAGATAACGGTTGTAATATCTCAGTACATGGAGACCGTGTTGTTGAGAAAAACTGTAGATCTCACAGAGAGGTACCCATGGTGGAAATTCGCGTTATCGTGCTAATAGAAATTCTAGTAATTATATATTTAGTGACAGACAAAATTCTTTTTCAGGTTACTCGCGCAAAAATCATTCTAGTAATGCATACTCCCAAAAATATACAAATGACAGACACTTTCTTTTTCAGATAATGATAATCATCATAATAGCTATGATAGAGACTCTCAGAAATACTTTCGTCAGCACGGTTCCAGTTTTTCATGACAGATCAAGAAACAAGTAAATTTTAACAGAGACGGTCATTTTTTAGGTCAAGTGTGAAATTTCCTGGAAAATGTGCGTGGGTGGAGTTTCATGTAATAATTCAGATAGTCATATTCTTAGACAAAGTTGTATAACATATCTTGATTTTTGATATTATTAGAATTGCTGAAACTCCATCTATTAGGAAATACAAGTATTTTGGTTGAAAATTATAACATTTTTTAATCATAATAGAAAGCATATCCGAGAAATGCCAAGCAAGCATGGCTCCGGCGGTGTAGGTTTCTTTGTAAAAAAAAAATAGTCTTTTTTATCTGAATTTAGTGTGAAAATAGTAAATAATTCTGTTGATGGAATTTTATGGTTAGAATTTAAACATAAGGTAGAGAACTTTTATATATATACTTGTGTCTGTTACCTTCCACCTGAAAACTCTTCACGATATTCTGATTGTGTCACTTTTTATAATGATTTGTTGCAATGTATTTATGAATATCAAAATAAAGGTTTTTTGTATGTATGCGGTGATTTTAACAGCCGCTGTGGAGATACTGATGATTTTATTGCTGGAATTGATAATATTGAACCAAGAAATGTTGTTGATTTTAATACAAATTCATACGGGGACCACCTAATACAGTTTCTCATTGATAGTAACATGTGCATTCTGAATGGACGAAATTATTTTGTAAATGATTTTACATCTGTTTCTGTAAAAGGATGCTCCGTAGTTGATTATTGTCTTGTAAGCCATGAGAGCCTTAAGCATTTTTACTGATTTTAATGTTATTACAACTTCAGATCTTATATAGATTAGATGTAAGAAATTTTTTCCTAGAAATATTCCAGATCATTCTGTGTTAAATTGGAACATGAATATTGATATCGGATTGCAGTCTTCTCCCAGTTCGGTTGATCAGGAAACTTATGCTCCAGGATTTGATAAGTTTGATTTAAAAAGCATCCCTGACTGCTTTTTTGTCCAGCTATAATGTTATGGGAAAAATCAATTTGGTTATTGAAAAACTTGAGCAGGGATTAAGATTGCAATCTGACCTTGATATTGCGTATGATGAATGGTGCAAAATTGTCAAATCTGAAATGTATGAGAAACTAAGTTATAAGACTGTTTATCCAAATGACTCTGTAAAGCTGTCCAATAGAAAACGTAAACCTTGGTGGAACCAAGAGTTAACTAATATTTGGAAAAGTTTACATGCAGCAGAACATAGGTGGTTAAGATGTAATGATAGAGCTATTAAATCTACTCTAATGCAGGAATACTCTGTTTTACGTAAAACTTTTGATAGAAAGGTACAGCATTATAAGAGAGCTCATGTCTGTAAAGTGCAGAATGATATTTTATCAGACTTGCAGAATAATGATACCCAGTTTTTGGAAAACTATTGGTAAAAATGGTATTGGTTCATATCGTAATAAATGTATTCCTATGCAGATAGTACTTAATGATGGTAGTGTATCCAATGATGTTAAGTGTATTTTGAACAAATGGAAAACTGATTTCAGTTCAATTCTTAATGAAAACAGTGTTATAAATCTGAACTCTGTTGATGCTACAAGTTTTAACATCTGC